TTTATTATAGTTGGTTCAATAGATTCACTTATGTTATGATTATATAATAATGATTATATGTAATGAAAGTTTTATGCAATATGGTACAAAATATATTTTATTAAAATCGTAAATGGTATATAGTTTAGAACCAGTAACAAGTTTTTAAGAACACCTGTTTTAAAAAACATTTTCAGTAGTTATGTCAAAAAATTTTAAGTTTTTTACACAAAACTACTCACACACAAAATAGGGCTAATATAAACAAAAAAATGTTTATATTATTTTAGTATTGTATTTTTTTTAAAAAAAAGATTATATTTGTGGGATTTTGACACCAGTTTTTTTAAATCATCTTAAAAAACTATACAAATTGTTAAAAATGAACTGTTCAGTGTCCAAAATTTTTGTGGTTCAAGATAAGTAGCTTTTAGGCATAGAGCGTTTTTAAATATCAAACATGTTGATGATGTTAACTGAGAACGGTTTTATTTAGAAATTAGGTAATCGGGGTAAACACATCCCTATTTCAATTTTTATTTGCCCCTTTCCTAAAACTACTCCACCAAAAATAATATATTTCTTAAATTTAATTTTTTTTAGGAGCTATATAAGTTTTCGAGTTTCTCTGATATACTTCCAGAGTCAATGATACCAGGGGACCAGTGCGCCCTGCCCCCCCCCCCCCCCCAACAAACTTTTTTTCTAAAGGAACTTTTTTTTTTAATTATTTTTCAGTAATTTCTAGATAAAGATGACTTTTTTTAGAAGATTATAATTGTCCCTTTTTTTTTAAAGTTGAATATTGTCCCTTCCCACTTCGAAACCTGTGTCGTCGGCCCTGACTTCTGAAACAATTTATAAGGGTCGAAATTTTTTTTTTAATTTTTAAAATAAAAAAAGTCAAAAAGTCACTAATGTGACAATCTTGGTATGTTTGACGATCCTATGATACTAGATTACTTAATATCTTTTTCATTATCAACAAACCTACCAGAGTAACTTCCAAATCTATTACTGCTATTGATAACATATTAACAAACTCAATACAAGATACTTCTCTAAAATCAGGAATAATAAAAACGGATATTTCAAATCACTTTCCAATACACTTCTCTTTGTCACAAAATTCTACAAAAATTAATAATTCAAAAATCTTAAGTAAATCATTTTTAAAAAAAATTATGTTAGGTATCTTTATTGAGTTGTCAAAGGCATTTGACACCGTCAATCATGAGGTTTAACTGACAAAAATGGAAAACTATGGTGTAAAAAATCAAGCTTTAAATTGGTTTAAAAACTACCTTAATAACAGACAACAGTGTGTTATTATAGATAAAAAAAGCAACTCAAATTTACTAAAAACAAAATGTGGCCCAAGGTCCCATTCTTGCTCCTCTTTTGTTTCTTATTTAAATAAACGATCTTCCAAATGCCTCTAATATCTTTAAAACTATAATGTTTGCCGACCATACAAACTTATTTTACTCATCAAAGACAATTGAAGACCTCCTTGAAAAAACAAATGCTGAACTAAAAAAAATTAATATATGGTATAAATCAAATAAACTATCACTCAATATAGAAAAAAATAAGAATATACTATTCCACTCTAATCAACAAATTAAGAAAATACCCCCGAACCTACCAACAATTAATATAGAAAGTATAACCATCAAAAGAGCTCTGAATACAAAGTTTTTAGGAGTTCTAATTGATGAACACTTCTCCTGGAAACAAAAATATCAAAGAACATAGATTTAATTTACAAGGCAAGAACATTTCTGTCACAAAAAAGTCTAAAACTTGTCTACTTTTCATTCATACATCGCTATCTCATGTATGCCAATATAGCATAGGGCAGTACCCATAAATCTAAATTAAAACCACCTTACTTTCGTCAAAAACGCGCTTCAAGACTAGCACACAACAAAAACAAATTTACTTATGTCCAACCCTTACTGGAACAAATCAACGCACTAAATATATTTCAAATAATTATTTTTCAAAATATACTTTTCATGCTTAAATATGAACTAAGTCTGGTTCCTGAAAATTTTAAAGCACACTTTTTTAAAAATAATATAAATACAATACAATACAAGAGCAACAGGCAACTTTAAGATACCGTTTGAAACAACAAGGCTCTCAAAATTCTCAATTACATATCGTGGTCCCTATTTATTTAACAAATTAGTTTCCAGAAACGAATCACTAATAAACCTAAACAACGAACACTCTCTGAAAATAAATTTAAAACCTACAATAATCAAATTAAATAACTATAAGGAATTTTTAAAAAAAAAATAAATGTAACTTAACTTTTAATACAAATCAATAAAAAATAGTAATAATAATAGTATTTATAACTAGGTATATATGTAATACATACATATATACCACGTATGCAACTGATTTTTTATGTGTAATACACGTCTAGAAAAAGGTACTCGATGACAAGACTGACTTAAGTCTTCTGTGAGCTTCCTATAACTACTAACAATTCTTCTTATCAATCTTACACAAGTTTTGTTTTTATCATGTTTATACACAAACATTATTTTGAAATGTGGTAAACAAACTTATAGTGTAACATCTAAACACTCCTCCGAAAAATCAGCAGATTTATTTTTATTTATTGTATTTTTTATTTTAATTGGATAAATATAAAGATATATTTCTCGGATTATTTTTACGTTCACGTTACTATATATTGTTGTAATTGGTATTTATTTTAATCATGTCAAAGAGTTGTTTGCAACTATATTTTTATTTACCTCGTATATTTCGAACTTTATGTTTATGATATTTATATATCAAACTTGGGTGTGTTTATGCAAACCTCATTTTGGGTGTGTTATAAAAAGAGAGAATGTTTTGGAAAAAATTAAAGTAACTGGTCATGGGAGCGAATAAACTTGAAACTTGTGTCTCTAAAACACCCAAAATTTCCCCCAACTTCTATGGAATTTAGTGCATATAAGTAAAAGAGATATTTGTGTACTAAGACATAACGTCTCTACGATATAAATAATTAATAGTAATAAAAATAATAATAATAACAATAACGTCTAATTGATTCGGTAGTTTATAAAAAGGAACGCAAGAGTCAAAGCCTTTTTAATTTGTATAAATATGTGAAACTTTATTCCTTTAAAGTATTTTGTAAACTTAATATAAAAATTTAATACATGTATTTATCGTATCAAATTTACTAATTTTTTTTTTAATTATTTTCATTATTTTACTTTTGGTATTTTTCCCATCACGAATGTTTTTTATTAAATGGTATCAGCGAAAATCACTTATTTAAAGTAATTTTTAGCATCAATTAAAATTCAATGCATAATTCATTGGTCTAATAGTGAATAATTCAATGGTGTGATAGTGAATGGCCGCTTTGAGTTTTGGAATTAAATTTAACTACAGTTTTTGCAGCAAATATGGAGCATATAAACACCACTTTAGAAAAAAGAAAATGTTGTGTTAACAAGTTATTCAAATCTGCTATAGATCAGGTTTGTTTATACAAAAGAATTGAAAAAAAGCACGATAAAGTTATAACTACGGTTGTTAAGGAAATTTTAAAAAAAATGTGTTTCATCGATAACAAGTTAGCAAATGACTTTTGTATTAAAAAGGTTGGAGAAACAAATTATGAATGTTTTTCATGCTTGAATATTGGAAAAAAAAATCCTTCGGTTTATATTTTCAAAAGTGGTAAGGTTTTAGCAAAGATAGTTGCTGAGGCAGAGACTAAAGAATATTTACACAATGTCTCATTATTAAGTGAAGGATTACATTATTTAAACGTGGACAACGTTATCACGAGTTTTCATACGACTCTCTCTAAAGCCATTACGCTCTACAAGCAAACAAAAGAATGGAAAGATAACAAATGTAAGCTTAGTCTGCATTCTGTTGGTATATCAAATACAAATTCAACATCCATTTGTCTTGGCAACAGTGATGATAGTAAAACAATAAATTTTAGCATAAAATGGATTCCAACTATCATACTTCCACTTTTTTGCATACCATTTGTTAAAAAATGGTTAGGAGCTAACGTACCTTGTTTTATTGCAATTAAAAATTTCCATGCGGCTAACGAACCGTGTTTAGAATGGAATATCTCTTATCACCTCCATGAAGTAGAAATCATAAAAACCTTTCCAGTTAATATTTGCATGGAATCGCTACACGCAGTGTTGATTATTATTAAAGGTGATCCTGTTTTAAATGATATACCACGCGAATTCGTTAAAAATGTCTTTTTTGAAGTGATCATTCACATGGAAAAATGGTTGTCGTTGAATTATTCAGAAAAAAGTGTTCTTAACGATAAACATAAAATTTCTATTATCGAGTGCATTTTCACTACTCTGCTCCAAAAATTGAACTGTTCTTTTATTCCAAACTTTTTTAATGCAGAAATTAACATTTTTAAAAACGAGCAGATTTCAAGAATAAAAATTTGTTTAATTTGCGATAGATTAAAAGTCATTATTAGAGGCAATTGTGAGAGTTGTGGTTTTTCAAAAAAATTTTTAGAAGCAACCGGAACCGAAATGAATAAATATTACAAATAAATAAACAGCATGTTTAACGATTAAATTTTGAGAATTTTGCGCAAATTACGTTGCGTTGAACTTGTGTGTTTGTTTATAACTTGTTTTTAATATTTCTATTGAGTTTATATGCAATTTTAAGATAATTTAACAGAAATTTTATTATTGTATCTTTATTAAGAAAGTCTTTTTTCATCTAAACTAAAACTAATTCTATTAAATTAACAAAATGTTGCTTATGTAAAAGCAAAAAGTGTTACATCAATACTTAAAAGAAGAACTATAATCCTTTTTAAAATTGTAATTGAAGTCTACAAGACATCAACTTTACATAGTTTCATTCGAATGTTCCGTTTGAATGATTAATTGGCTGTTTTTAAAACTGCATGCATGGGCAATAACACAATTGTGCTGAAAATTTTGTGTTTAAAGATAGGATACCAAACATTGGGTATTATAATAGATGGCATGGTGAAAATTTATTCAATTACTTGAATTAAAATAAATAACTTTTAATTAATTGCATATAATGTTGTATGAGGAAAGATGGGAAAAGATTGGTTTTGTTTATTCTTTGTTTTGTTTACTTCAGGTAAGGTGTCGGGTTTTTTTTTTTTTTTTTTTTTTTTAATATAATTATTAGAAACTCGGTATAACGATTAATGGTACAATAATAAAGTTAGAATGGTATAATATTAATGGTATAATAATAAAGTTAAAGACTCAATAAAAAATTAATTATGGAAATATAGTTAAAGAAAAGGTTTAAACTTGTAAAAACAGAAAATTTATTCTATTTAGTTCTGATAATTTAAAAATTTATCTAAATAAATAAAAAATAAAAGTTTATATAAATTATAAAACGATAAAATTAAATTAAAAATAAAAAAATAAATAATGAAATAAATCTTCCACAAATTCTCACAAAAAACATTCTCAAAGTTTCTTAAATTATTATTGTATTTTTTGTAATGCAAATTTATGATATATTGGTAAAATCTTTGTTATCTTGGTTATCTTCTTATGAGTATTTTGTTCATTGTGTTATGATATTTTAACCGTGTTGTGACATTTCGACCGTGTTATGATATTTTGACCGTTTTTTGACATTTTGACCGTGTTATGACATTTCGACCGTGTTATGATATTTTGACCGTGTTATGTTATTTTGTGTTAAAAGTCTAACGATAATACCAAAGGTATTAACAAACATCGTGTTTTTTTTTTTTCATTTATTTAGCTTATTGTGCAAATCAACAAGAGCAAGATTCTTCGTTAATAAAGCTTCTTTCTAAGGGATCAAAACAAGTACCATTTCTTCAAAAACAAACATTAGATGTTGATGATGATACTGTTGAAGATGTTCCCATAAAAATGCCGGAAAAAATTTCAGAACATCAACATTTTATACCAGTAGAACCAAACTTAAACTCGATTTTACCTCGAACAACACTATTTTCGGATCCTTATGAAAATGCAAAAAAACGAGAAAGATATGAAGCAGGTATTTTAGCAAATCCTAGACCAACAAATTCTTTTTTTGACGGTAGGTTGTTGGAAAATAAACAACTATTAGAAATGCAAAAAGGAGATGTATCTCCGCCAGAGTTAGAACGGCATATAAACCAGCAGGACGAAAATTTAAAACACATTCTAGAAATCGCAAATAACGCAAACAAGGATGATGCTTCTGTTAAACCAAACAAACTTTTAACTATTATTAGAGAAAATCCGACAGATCGTTTATCAAAAACAAAAGATGTAGATACTTATTATCAAAAATTAGAATCCGAATCTTCCGAAAAAGCGTTGGAAGATCAATATTCAAGTCAAACAATTTTAAAAGGTAAAAGTATGCCTAATGAAGCGTATAGTAGAAAAATGCCTGAACACGGAAGTCCATTTTACTTACAACAGGAAGTTGAAATGTTTAAATCATCAAATCCTGATTATTATATTAGTCTTGATAAAAAAAAAAGTCAAAAGAAGCAAGTACGACCAAAATACAAGTTGAGAAGAATTGACACAGACAGGTCTTCTGATGATGAAATTGTTAACAGTCATCATTTAAATGATCATGATTCAGAAATAGTAATAAAAAGCTCAGAAGAACTACTACAAGAAAAAGATGAAAATAATGATGACCAGACAAATGTTACTAGTCGTAGACATGCAGATAAGTTATCAACGCCTCAAGTGCTACCTACGGTTAATAAAGCATTTTTTTCATTCTCTTATGACAAAGAATCGCCCTTCGGTAACGCTTAACTTTAGATTTTTATTTTTTACATTATAAATAAGTTTTAAAAAAAAATGATTAACATGATAAAATAATTAAAAAAAAATTTTTAAATCATTTATAGATTTAATAAGACATTTTTTTACACTAATATTTATTGTACATATTAGTAATAAACTAATTTCTTAACTAATGTTTATGATAATTAAGATTCTTGTTAATTTCAGGACCACAAGCCTGGCATCTTCTAAACGTAGATTGGACTTGTACAGCAAGAAAGCAATCTCCAATAGACATTGATACTAAATATTTAATTGACAATGTTGCCGTAAAAAACATTGTGCTTAAAATAAATCCTCCTAACTCGCCGTTAATTGGGACGTTACGAAACAATGGTCATGCTCCAACGCTCTCAATTTCAAGCGATGTCTCCATTAAATTGTTCGGAGGAAATCTTGTTAATGATTATTTTTTTAAACAACTTCATTTTCACTTTGGATGCACTTCGGGTACTGGATCTGAACATCAAATTGATGGAAATGCATTTCCTTTAGAAGTAACAGATTTATTTTTTAGTTAATCTTTTACAACATTTTTTTTAGTATATGAATTTTCACTAGATTGTGCCTTACTTGTTCAATTGTGCCTTACTTGTTTACAGATTCATTTAGTGTTCTGGGACAATTCGACATACAAAAGTTTTCCCGACGCCGCTAAAGCTGATCGAGGCATTGCTGTCTTAGCTGTTCTTTTTGAAGTAATTCGATTTAAAGTATTGTAAATAAATATTCTGGTATTAGTAAGGTAAATAACTAAGATAAATAAAAACAACATTATTGATTTTGTAGATACAGTCACCAAACAAAACAACAGATACGCCACTTTCACAAGTTATACAGTTGTTAAGACACATTGAAGAAGAAGGTAATTTCATATCTGGTAAAATCTTACAATCCTGTTTCTAAAATTAGCTTATTTTCTTGTTTCTTCAGATTATACTTAAAACTTGGGCACAAGAGACAAAAAGACGGAGATTTAGATTAACTGGAGTATAGAAAACTCCGATAGCGAAAAAAAGTGGGGAGCAGAACTTTTGAATCCAAACCTGAACTGAATAAATATAATTTAGGAAAAAGACAGGGGTATTATACAGTAAATTATACTAATTCAAAAAACAACTAGTTCAGAAATTTAAGCGGCTGTGGCGCAGTGGTTAAAGCGCTTGCTTTAGAAGCAAGAGATCAAGAGTTCAGAGCGAGCTTGGGGTATATTTTGTGTCATCGGTAAACAAGGAGGTGTAAACTTCCTCTTCGGCGGCGCTCAGTGACAAGTCCGTTTGGTCTTCTTAGGGCTCCTAAAACAAAACAAAAAACAAACATAATTAATAAAGAACTGAGCCCAAAACCATTATTATTTTGAAGTAAAACTAAATTTTATTTTTTATTTTTATTAAATTATAGGACGGCGAGAAATTGAATCATTGTAATAGTTTTATTTTTTGGCGTCCTATAAATTTAAAAAATTTAAAAATCTAAATTTAAAATTCATTAACTTTTTATAAAGATTTCTTAGTTTTAATATTTTTAACCTTTAATGGCTTTTTAACCAGATTTAGAAAACTTTTTTTAAGTTTTATTAAATATATTCTTTTCTAAAAGTTTTAAATGTTGATTTACGAAATTTTTTCCTTAAAAAGTAACATATTTGAAACAACTTTCGAAATAAGCAATATATTATAGCAAGTACAGTAAAATAAAAAATTTGTTTATATAATCACATTTATATGTGGAACGAAGACAGCTTTTATCAAGTTCAGTTTTAAAAAGCTCCTTTTTCAACTAGCGACACTTAGTAAACGACCGGGGCTGGAATTCGACCGTGGTCAAGGCCAGTTCTACGTAAGGGACTGCATAAATAATGGTACATATTAACTTATTTTTATAAATCATATCAGTATGCATTAATATTTATACAGTCTCAGCCATTAAGCCAACATTGAACCAGGTCAAATACTAGCCCCGGTCGTTTACTAGCGACACTGATACCAATTGTTAAATAAATCTTACCAAAGTTAAAATGTTGGGTTTTTAATTTGATAAACACTAAAAAAATAGACGTCTTTCTGATAAACACTTCCACAATCATCGAAAAATAACAAGGTTTGCTAGCTAACAATCTAATTATATCGTGTGTTTTTAAAAAACTTTCCTTCCTTTTTTTGATTTACTTATCTTCTGCTGTAGTTTATTAAAATGTAATATCTTAATAATTAAACTGAATTTTATCTTTAACTTTTTCCGTTTGAAAAAGTGATCAAATAAAAAAGTGAAGTTAATTTATATTAACTTAAATTTTCGCCATTTTCAAAATTACTTTTAATGTTTTTAATTTATAAAATTCGATTTATAAAGACAATATTAGGAAAAAACTTTTGCTTACTGGACATGAAACTACATCTCTCGTGAACCAACTCTTACTTCCTTTGATATTGTTGACCCAAAAACTGGCAAAGAAGAGCTGCTTCTTTTCCAGTTCTTGAGGCAACAACATCAAACGAAAAGAAGTTGATTCACGGGATATGAATTTGAGTAGTGCTTTAGTGTTGTTATTTAGCTTTTTTTTTCCCTTTCTTTTTTTTAATGATGCTTCACTAATTTTACGTCGTTATATCGTACGGATTTGTTATAGCAATAAGCTATAACAACTCTGCATTAATGCCAATTGACTTGACGATTGAGAAATATATTTGCAAATATATAATATCTTACAATTCGTAGAAATCCGATCTTACTTATCGATTTGAACTTAAGAATCAAATTTTTAAAGTAAACAAGTGTTTTTACAACTACAACAAATTATAAAAATTGGTACCCCAAGTTATTACAGATCGCTTCACTGCATAAACTCCTAGCTTCGTTAATATATTCAAATGTTATTTTTATTATCATTATTTTAATAAAAGATTTTTTTCTCAATAAAATTTTTTAAAAAAAACTTTTCTCAATAGAAACATAATTCGGTAAATTTAAGTTTCATTGAGTAATTATGTTTGATTATTTTATATTTAAATGCTCGAGGATTAATTGACAATATTTAAATAATAAAGTGAAAAGTATAATGTTTTAAGTAAAGGCATATCAGTTACCTTCAGAAAAATTTCTGAAATTAAAACAATATTTTCTTTTGTTTTAAATTTTTCTTTAAAAAAACTTTTTGAGAAAACTTATAAAAAATTTAAAAAAGAATTTCTGTTTAAATCACTGAGTTTTTGTTTCCCAAATAATATTGATATTTAACAATGACGTTGTAATCCACATACTTATTGTGATATAATTACATGATGCATTTGTAAACTTAAACTCTTCTAAAATTAAATATACTTTCAAATTAATAATTCTTCTAATTGAATATACTTCCAAAAGTGAAAGCTTTAAAAAGCAGTGATTAACATATATACTTATACTTCTATTTATTTAATAATTTCAAAATAAATAATTAAGGTTTATACAAAACCATTAAGAAATTAATCTCGTTACCCTTTCTGAAAATAAAAGTATTGTTTATTAAATTTCTTTACTTTGTGCATATGCATAACTGCATTCCCTATAAGGCAGGTCTACTAACTATTTGAAAATCTGAGTTATTGTTGAAAATAGATAGCACAAGTCTAGCTTTGATATATTAGGGTAGACCGGGACATGTTGGCCCACTTTTTTTTAACGTGTAACATTTTAGATTTTCAATTTTTGTTTTATTTTTTATGGAAAAAGTTGACAAGACCTTAGACTACTCTTAAATAACATTATTAAAAGTTTGAAATTGATTTTTAAAATATTTTAAATTGATTTTGTTAGGTTATGTCTGATGGACTAACGTGCCCCGCAATCGGTATAGGTTGGTCCAGGGTACAAAACAGGGGCAAATTTATTTTCAGCAATATCTTTTTTTTCATTATTTTTATTTTTTTTGTTATTTTTTTTCTAATATTAAAAAAATAAATTGAATTTGAATTGTGTTGGACCTTAGTATAAAAGCCTCTAAATATTAAAAAACGTAAACTTATTATTTATTTAATTCTTATTATTTACCCCAGGTTTGTTTTTTATTTTCAAACCATTTCAAAATACAAAATATTATTATCGGAAATGAAATCAACTTATTTAACAAAAAAAATGTTAAGGATTGGTTTTAACATATGGCCAACTTTTACTGTTTGCATTGACCAACCTGCTCTGTCGTAACGTTTAGAGTATAAACGCTTTTATTCTTAAACCATTAACTAATATTATTCAAAATTGTATATTAAAATAATCCTTAAACTATAAGCTTTAAATTTAGAACTTAGAAAATGCAGTACTGTCAAAAACCAATAAGCATACTAACGTCAAACAAACTATTCAAAATTTACTTTGATGTATCAAAAATTGTAAAAATGGCTCTACACTTTTAACTATGATCCAATAAATATATATTTTTTTTGAAAATGAGTTAAATTACTGCCAATTTTCATCTAGATTCCTAGAATGCTAAAGCGCAAAGTCTTTGAATAAACTCGACTGGGCCAACCTCGTTCGGTCTACTCTAATGCTACTAGTTATGTTGCAATTTTTGTGTTACCAAAACTTTTTAATGTCAATATGATCATTTCCTTTAGTGAAGCAATCCTTGATAATATTATCGTGATGAGTTTTTTATCATCTTTAGTTTTTTAATCATTTTTTTTTAAACAGCGAAATGGTGAAAAGTAGATTAAAAAGAAATGAATAACAAATAAAAATTGTTTAGAATAGAAGATTTTAAAAAAAAAACAATTAACAAAGTGAAATAAAATGAAAATGTTAAAGAAAAAAAATTGAAGAAAAACATTAAATAAACTAAACACCTAAAGTAAAGTTAATAGAAAAAGTGTTTGTAATAAATTCAAAAATGAAATTTTTGAATTTATCACAAACAATTATAGATATAGACGACAACATAAAAAATATTGAATTTATCAATATTTTTTATGTTGTCGTCTATATCTGTGTATTGTTTATACTATCGTAATTTTGTGCATCATTTTTGTATTGTTTATTTTGTCATGTATTTTTTGCGATATTGTTACTAATTATTTTTGTTATTGTTTCTTTTTATATTTGTTGTTATTATTCAAGTAAGTTCATTTTTTTTTTGTCTTATCATAATATTTAAATATATCCTTTTTTTTTAATATTATCCTTGTGATTGTTAAATGTTGCGTTATAATTTATTCATTATCTTCTCATGTCAGCTCATTCACTCTTTGCTTTTTTTGTGTTATTAGTCTTGCTTTAAATACTATTGTTCTTTTTTATTTATTTATTTTTGGTTACTATCTATATAATTACTTTATGTCGTTTGTTTGTTTTTTGCTTTATTTGTTTATTTTAATAAGGCGACTCCAATGACTAGTTTTTAACTGTATGAGTGAAACCGAACCGAACGATACGAGTGACACCTAATTTTGTAAAGTTATAAATAAATTTGTAATTTTTTCAATATTATGGTTAAATAAATGGGTGAATTGAAAATAACAATAACAACAAGTTTAGTGAAGCAATCCTTGATAATATTATTTTTATGAATCCTTTTTTTTTCATTTCTATTAAATGCTGAATAATAAATTTTGGCAACAAATTTCTTTATTTAGATGATACAGTCGCAGTTAAAGAAGAATTTAACTTTCGATTAGAAAACTTAATACCAAATGTTATGAAATCAAAAAGCGCTGATAGGTTTTACACATATGAAGGCTCTTTGTCAACCCCTGGTTGCTATGAATCTGTTACATGGATAGTTATGGCAACATATTTATCGGTTACTGAATCAGATGTAAGGTTTTTGTTTCAGAGTGTTTATCAGAATGTATAATGGTGGTGAATAGGTTAAGAAAAAAGATCTCTGTTTGCAGTTTTTTTTTTTATATACAAAGCATACTCATTTGGCAGTAACATTTGTATAAAACTTTAAAGAACAATTTTGTAACCTTGTTAAGTATGCAAGATTTGTCTTTAAGATAAAGAGAAAATCTTTAAAGACAAAGAGATAATCTTTAAAGACAAAGAGATAATCTTTAAAGACAAAGAGATAATCTTTAAAGACAAAGAGAAAATCTTTAAAGACAAAGAGATAATCTTTAAGGTCGTTTTTTATAAAATATTTTAGTTTTACTATTTTATATACTAGAATTTCAAAACATCAAAATTATATTAATAATTTCGGCCACATAGAAAAAACAGTATCAAACATATCCTGCATATATATATTCTTAACAAATAAATATTAAGTTTATATTAGTAACATAAACTAATAGATATAAATAGTTTATATTAGTAACATAAACTCATAGGGATATTATGGAAAGATTTATAGTGTTATCATAAGTATATATTAATATATGCATCTTAGGTATATTTAAAAGAAATTAGTATATTTAACGGAACAAACTAAAAAAGATACTACTAGTTATCATAGCTTTATGTAAATTATACCCACAAGTAAAACTAATGTATAAAACTAAAGACCATTGTAAAGTGATATTAGATTTTTTAAATTTTTTTCAGCTATCAGTGTTTCGAAAACTTCGGTCTTCAAAAGTCAATCATTATAGTGATGAAATGTGCAACAATTACAGACCAATTCAAAGAAAGAATGGAAGACGAATATATTCGAATATAATTTGATTAGAAAATTTTTTGTTACATTTAGAGTGCTTATTTAACCTAATCCAAATTGTTGCAGTTGTAAACAAAACCCTGAAATTGAAATCTGCTGAGTAAAAATAAAGCAATTGAGCGAGAAAAAAATAAAGCAATTGAGCGAGAAAAAAATAAAGCAATTGAGCGATTGATGAGTTTGATTGACGACTTTGATGAGTAAAAAAACATTTTGATGAGTATAAAAAAGTACTTCGATAAATATTTATATGCTAAATCGATTTGTGAGTGGTTCACAATGGTAAAGATAAAAAATAATGATTTTAAAAAGAAAAAAATTATGATGTTAAAACAAACAGTTAAGCTTATAGTTTTTCTATTTTCAGTAAAGCACTAAAAAATACGGGCCAAAAATAGAAAATGCACTGACATTTGCAGAGTTATTTAAATTGTTAGTCTAAAGTTTATCAAAGAACTTTATTTATATTTTGTTAAATTATGTCTTTTTATATAATGTATGCAAATAAATTTGATGAAATATTTAGCTCTATTTTAGTTTGGTTTGTGTCAATTCTAGCATTGATATTCTGAGGCATCAGCCACCATTTTTTCTTCAAACAAGTCCTATTGCACATTTTTTATATTTTTTATAATTATTTTGTAAATATGTGATAAACTTTTCATTAATAAATTGTTCCTTAAATATCCATTGAGTGCCGAAATTGACATTTATAACTTGACCTTATATTTTATGAGAATTGGCCGGTTTTGGTGTTTGGCCTTTTATCTATATGTTATGTCAAAAAGTAAAGACGTTTAAAAATTATGTAAAAGTTAGTTCTTTTTGAGAATTTAAGCAAGGTATTTTTAAGTTATCTATACTTGAGAATAAATTAAGAATGTCTAATAATAAAATAAATAAATACAAAATAAAAATTAGCAATTGAAATTCTTGTTTACTACGACAGCTTTTTCATTAACTGATATTCCGATTTAAAATCTTAAGTTAAGAAGCATTAGTTCACTCCTTAAAGTGTAGAAGTTAATGTTTTTCATTGACTCTGCCATTTAACTACAAATACAATCCATCTATATTCTTGGTACACAACAGTTAAGTTTTTCCACTAAATATCAATAAATGTTCTTTTTCTAAATATTTTAGTAAATTGTTGTATACAATAAAATCGAAGATAAAATAGTTATACAGGTATTTAATTTTATAAAAAGAACGCAGAGACTCGCAGAAGACCATCAGGTCTTGTCATCAAGAACCACTCGTAATTTACAATCTCAATAAATCATAATCAAATATAGTTGTATATCCCTATAAAAAACTTGACAGGATAAATATATCAAATAGTACACGAAATTATTAAACTTTTAAAAATGTAAAAGACAGTCAAAATAATTCTTTTTAAGTTTATTCTTAAATGAGAGGTAACTTCATTCCAGAAAAATATCAAAATGTTTTTAAACTATTTTATTCCAAAGAGAAGTTCCGTGAAAAGCAATGTTTGTTTTTCCAAAATCAGTTTGATAAAATGGTTGCCGAATTAAATTATTATTTCTCAAATTGTATGTATTTTTATCTTTCAAGGTATGTAAATTATGGACGCACGTGGCAAGTTTTAAATGAAATCACTGGCAACCATAAGATTAAAGCATGTAGTAAAAAATATTAGAAACTATGATGATTTCTTATATAATCCAAAAGATACAGCAAATCAGATAAATAACTATTTTGTAACTGTTGGTCCTAATCTAGCAAAATATATTCCACTTGTAACTAACAAAACAAATTATTTTACCCTTCCCAAAATTTCTGTACTTGATAATTTTGAAATTTCAGTGGAAAAATTTGAATGTGCTTATAAAATGCTAAAAACAAATAAAGCGAGAGGTCAGGACAAAATAATTAGTAACATTATTATTGGATATTACGATATCATAAAAACTATACTCTTCAAAGTATTTAGTTGCTCAATAAAACAACGAATATTTCCTGACCAACTAAAGATCGCGAAAGTTACACCAATATATAAAGGTGGTGAATTATCAAATATAACTAATTATTGACCAATATCTGTACTCTCTAGTTTTTCAAAGGTTTTTAAAAGGATTCTTTACAACAAAATTTATGAACAAAATTTATGGATTTAAAAAAATAATTCAATGGAATACGCAATACTTCATGTAACAAGCAATATTGCAGATTCTTTTGAGAAATCACAATTTACTCTTGGAGTTTTCATTGATCTATCAAAAACCTTTGATACGATAGATCATGAGATTCTACACAAAAACTTAAAAACTATGGAATCAGCGGAAATTTCTTAAATTTGCTAAAAAGCTATCTAAGTAATTGTGTCCAAATTGACGTATCCTCCTCAACAAGTTTACTAGATATAACATATGGTGTTCCCCAAGGATCTATACTAGGGCTACTGCTTTTTCTCATTTATGTTAACGATCTGCACAATGCTTCAAATTTAAAGACAGTAATGTTTGCTGATAATACAAATCATTTTCTATCCATTAAAAATATCATTAGACTATTTAATGACATCAACACAGAGCTAATTAAAATTTCAAATTGGTTTAAGTCAAATAAACTATCAATTAACTTAGAAAAAACTAAATGGACTTTAATTCATCCAAAATCCCAAAAAAACTTTTACCAAATGATATGCCTCAAATATATATTGAAAATGTTTAAATAAAGAAATCAAAAGTTATACATTTCCTTGGTGTTTTCATTGATGAAAATCTAACATGAAAAAACCATATCGAAATTTTGTGATATGGTTTTTTCATGTTAAATTTTCATGTTGTTTTTTTTTTGCGATATGGTTTTTTCATGTTAGATTAAAATGTTTTTAATGTTTTTTTATTTATGTACAAATGTAAGATAAACCTAACCCCTTATCTTTTCAAAATTTATATGCAATAAAGCAAAAAAAAAACAAATATGACTTAAGAAATGAAATCTTATTCATCAACATTATTCTCAAACATCGTGAAGCTCTTCTGTGGAAGAAAATACTTTTGAAAAATTTTGATTTTTCTCAAAGTTAGAGTTTTCTTACTTTTAAAATTAAGCTGAAAAAAAGTTATATTGTCAATTAATAATATTTTTGAGTTCTTTTGAGTTTATACCTTATAAAAAGGTGTGTGATTCCTGAATATATTGTTTTATTTTGAAATATTTAGTTTTATATTATATCCTTTATGTTGTTAAACGTTATTTTATGTTGTGAAATATCTGGTTAAATTTAAATTTTATTTCTAAACGTCAATTATTGTAATTATTTAACTGGTTATATTTTTACTGCATTGTTAAATGGTTCTCAGTGACAGGATCAGTGGCGTATCTAGGATAGGGCAGGCAGGGCACGTGTCATGGGCGCAAAATCCGAAAACGTCCAAATTATTTAATGTCCCATACCTAAAATTATTGAAGAACACGACATCGGATTTTTTATGTTTAGTGAAGAAACAGGAAAAGCAATCATAACTGTTCCATTAAGAATTAAAATTATTAAACATGGTTTTAATCATTTCCAAAATATCGAAGGTCCTTTTCTGCCGACTAACAATCTTTCTATGAACAAAACTTGGTTCTTTAAAATATTAGGAATTGGTCACGGTAAGCAAAATATGCGTTCATGGTTGGTTTACATGCCTTACAAAAAATCTGCCTTTTGTTTTTGCTGTCTTCTTTTTTCAAAATGCGAAAACCAATCTAGTTTGGAACAAGAAAGCGGATTTAATCATTGGAAAGCCCCTGAGAGAATGAATGTACATGAAAATTCAAAAAATCACAGACAATGCTTTACCCAATGGAAAGAGCTGGAAAGAAATTTGTTTTACATTAGAGGAATAATTGATGCAGAACTTCAACAACAAATTCAAAGAGAAAATCAAAAGTGGTGTGATATTTTGAAAAGGTTGTTGCACTGCATCAAATACCTTACAATGCAAAATTTAGCTTTGCGAGGACACCGAGAATCACTTCAATCAAATGCTAACTCAGGAAATTTACTTAGTTTACGGAAACTAGTTTCCAATGTTGATACTGTTATTAAAAATAGTTTAAAATTTGCGGAGAGCCATCCTGGATCCACTACATATATATTCACCCAACATTCAGAACGAGTTCATTCACATTATAGCATCCACTGTTCGTGCTAACTTGCTTGAAAAGATACATAAAGCAAAGTATTATGGGCTAGTGTTTGATTCAACTCCAGATTTAGCCCATTGCGAAAAAATGTCTGAGGTAGTTAGGTATGTCGAGATCAATTTTGAGCAAAAAACAGTTTATATAAAAGAATCTTTTCTTGGCTTTATCCAACTCAGCGATAAGGATGCAGCTAGCTTAAACAATATTGGAGCAATCAGAAAAAGACGATATAAATGCATGTCACAATGCTATGACAATGCTGCTGTTATGGCTGGCCACTAGAGTGGTATGCATCAAAGAATAAAGGAAAAAAATAAGCTTACCATATTTGTCAATTGTGACAATCATAGTCTTAATTTGGTAGGCGTACATGCGGCTAAAGAAGAAGTAATGATGTTTACTTTTTTAGAACCATCAATGCGCTTTTTTTTCTTTCTCAAGATCAACTCAACGATGGCAAAAACTTAAAGATGCTGTGCCTATTACTTTGACGTCTGATTTAGATACCAGGTGGAGCGCCAAAACAGAATCAGTAAAACCTGTACACTATTGATGAAATATTGGAAGTTCTTCAGAACTTAATTGTAGACGAAAGCGCGTCAAATGAAACGAAAAGCGATGCAAAGCAACTTTATAATAGAATTTTATTGTACAACTTTCTTACATTGCTAAGGTTTTGGAACAAGATTCTTGGTCGAATTGACCGTGTTCAAAAGGGGTTGCAGGACCCTAAAATGAACTTTCATAATGCAGCTTTAGATTTGAAATCGCTCCAAGATTAATTCTAAAGTGAGAGAGAAGTCTTAGTTAATGACTCAATAAATGGATGGTGAAATATCTAGAGATGCTGGGAACAGCAAAAAAAGAAATGGAAAAGGTAATAAAAGGGACTGTCGACCGTCTTTTCAATGAATTAAAAACAAGAAGCGTTCGATTAATGGAAATTGAAGAAAAATTTGGATTTCTTCTTGATGTAGAAGGGTTGTGCTTCAATACGGAAATAAATCACTTAAAAGATCAATGTAAAAAATTTGGCGAAGTCTACAGTTCTGATGTGGACGGACGAAAAGTGTACGAAGAAATTTAAGGCTGTAAAATGCTGTTTACTAGCCGTAAGGAAAAAATGTCCCGAGCAACTACTTATGTTTACAGTTAAATATGGAGACGAAAACATTTTCCCTAATATGCGTATAGCATTGCAAATATTGCTAACAATATCTGTGTCTGTAGCTAGTTGCGAGAGATTATTCAGTAAACTTAAACTAGTTAACTCTTACTTGAGAGCTTTGATGGGCCAAAACCGTCTCCATGATCTCGCTTTACTAAGCATAGAGCCAGAAATTACCGAAGAATTTGATTTTGACAATGTTGCAGCACCTAAAGCTAGAAAAATGATTTTTTAAATTATGTTACATAAACAAATTGTTTATTTATAATGAATAAAGTTTTATTAAAAGTTTGTGTCAGCATTTATTAAAAAATTGTAATTAAGCACTTTATGTAGGGGAGGAGGGGTGCGAGATCGGTGTTTGCCCCAGGCGCTGTTTACTATAGGTACGCCACTGTTTTTAAAAAGAATTTCATGATCAATATTATCGAAGGCTTTAGTAAAATCAATAAAAATACTTGATTTTTTTCAAATGAATTAGAAATATTTCTAGCAATTTGAAGAATTGCATGTTCAGTAGAGTTGTTTTTTTGGAATCCATATTGATTACTGTATAATAAATTGGTAATAGTAAGATGAGTATTTGATATTGCTATTTAATTTTGTTGTACAAAATTGTATTCCATCCAAAACTTAAGAGAATACAGAAAGTATTGAAATTAGAATAGTTACTAATGTTTTCAATGCGACCTTTTTAATATTGGTATTACTTTTGGTAATTTTAAAGATTGTTGAAAAATTCCCTATTTAATTGAAATTGAAAAAATCTTAAAGAGTATAATTTTTATAACATGTTTTTATTAACACCATCCTACTGCTTTGTTACACTTTAACATTTTAAAAGCGTTTTTAAATTTCTCAAACACAAAGTATTTATTAAATTTTTCCGCAATCTCTCTTTTATTATATAAAAAATCGTTATTAAGTTTACCTGTATTAGGCAGAGACCGTGATGATAACTTTTTGTTGCCAGTAACTTCTTTCATTATAAACCTCATGTAGAATTTAATTAATATTTATCAAGTAAAGTTATGTAATAGTTTTTTTTTCTTTTTCTTGAGACAATCAAAAAGGTTAGCGTAATTTTTATATATAAGTTTAGTTTTCATTTGTTTTAGTTTTTAAGAAATTAATGTATAGTTTTTGTTTGATTTTAGAAGACCTCCGCAAACCCTTTGTAATGCAGGGCGATTTAATACTTTTAGCTTTGAGATTTGAACTAACTTCAGGGAAATTTTTATTGTAAATATCAATTTAGGCGTTTTTATTGATCTCAGCAAGGCTTTTGACACTGTAAATCATTATATTTTATTAACCAAATTAAAAAACTACGGTATTAAAGACTCGAACCTTAAATGGTTTAAAAGCTACCTGTCAAATAGACAGCAATATATTTCTCATTAAAACGGAAAAACTAACAACATGAATATATCTTGTGGAGTGCCACAAGGATCTATATTAGGATCGCTCTTATTTCTAGTATATATCAATAATCTAAGCAAATCTTTCAGAGTTGTTAGTCCTTGGCCTTGAACTTGGTCTTGACCTGGCCTTAAAGCCAAAAATTAAGGCCTTGGCCCAAAAATTTTTGGCCTTGACTTTGATTGTTTTGGCCTTTATAATAAAATACATAGAATTAAAGAAATCAAAGTTTTCATTCTTTATTTTACATAATTAATGACCTAATTAATCATTCTTTATTTACGTAATTACTTTATTAACGTAAGGCAAAAATTTAAGTCTTTGGCCTTAAAAATGTTTGCGTAGGCGTTGGCCTTGAAACTCTTATTCTTGGCCTTGGCCTTGTAACATGTGGCCTTGGCCATATGGTACTACTTTTTGCCTTGTTAACAACTCTGAAATCATGTAATGTATTAGACACAATCTTATTTTCAGATGGTACTAATCTATTTTATGCTCTGGATGACACAAAAATGTTATTTAAAACTGTAAACACAGAACTACTATACCTTGCTGAATGGTTTAAAGCAAACAAATTATCTCTAAATTTAACTAAAACAAAAGAAACATTTTTCCACCATCATCATCTACGAGACAAAACTCCATTAAAACTTTCAAACCTTTGTATTAACATAACAATTGCAAAATAAATAAAAAACATTATCATTAAAATTTCTAGGAGCATTCTTTGACAAAAATTTAACATGGAAAGGTTATACAAAATAAATTGAAGGTAAAATATCAACGAGCATTGGCCTACTTTATAGGGCAAAACCTTTTTTAAATTCAAATTGTTTAAAACTCTAATATTTCTCTTTTATTTATTCCTATTTTAATTATGCTAATATTGTATAGCCTAGTACCAATAAAAATAAATAAAAAAAAACTCTTTAATATGCAAACAATCTCTCACTAGCGCAGTTTAAAAAAAGTTTTATTAGCCGTGGCTGCAAATAATTTTTAAGAAAAATTAAAACCATACGTTGTAAGAAAAAAAGTTTAAATAACAAACCTTTTTGAAAACAACAAACTATGCATCAGCAAAAACTAAATATTATAAATATATAAACTAAAATATATAAACTAAAATATATAAACTAAAATATATAAACTAAAATATATAAACTAAAATATATAAACTAAAATATATAAACTAAAATATATAAACTAAAATATATAAACTAAAATATATAAACTAAAATATATAAACTAAAATATATAAACTAAAATATATAAACTAAAATTGCCTCTACCAACCGCTTGTGATCAAAGTTAATAAATAACAAAAGTTAATGGCTTACGAAAGCAAAGTGTTAACTGACTGTAAACAGGTTTAAACTCTAATTTAGCTCCCCGGTTTGGATAGTTGTAAAATACCAAAAAATAATTTAGGAATAATAGGAGGAATACAATTGATGTCATAATTCTCCAGTTGTTCAAAAATACCAACAGTTACAATTTTTCACTATTTTTCACATTTACTCCAAATTGACCAAGTAAGTTTTTACTAATGAGTATTTTTAATAAATCCCATTTTTGGGATTTATTAAAAATACTAATGAGTAAAAACTTACTTTGTTAAAAACATCTAAATTTCAATTTTTGAGGATATTAAAATTTAGGTGCTAATGAAGAGTAGAAAACTAAACTAGTGTATTACAAAATAATTTAGTTAACAAACCCCAATCCACAAAACTTTCTCCCGGGTGCAGTTCCTATTAAAACTCTAACTGTTGTATGAATTTTTTATAATCTGAATACATAATTTTGTGGATAAATAATTCAGATAGTGTATTAACTTTAAACTCTACGCAATCAATGGTACATTTTACAGCTAGGAACTTTTCCTTCAGATATTGCAGTATTGTCTTCCTAACTTGTTCCATACTAGGCCATTTACAGATTGATCCAACTCTTATAAGTAAAATTTATCCATGTATTTACAATATTTGAAACTGTTCCTTCTAAAGTGTTGTATGAAATAAAAAAAGAAGATCAAAGTTCAAAAACAAATCAATGTTAAAAAATATGCATCAAGTGGCTTTAACACTCTTGTTTGTTCGGTGGATGAAATTTTTGTTTCTTCCATTTTTTCCAGGATTTAAAAATTCTTAAATAGTGTGTTAATTGATGGAAATCCAGTATAAAATTGGATTTCCATCAATTAAAATCATTGTACTATAATATTATACTATAAAATTCCTTTACTACAATACGAGCAAATGCAACGTACACCTAAAAAATCCTTACTTTTTTCTAAATCAACCTTTAATATGTGGTTCTTTTTTTCCAATTCATTTATGCGCTTTTTAAATCATTTCTTTCACTTTTTACTAATTCACCTTCAGCAGTATCTATTGTAAAATCTACTTCCTCTGGTACCGCTGACAATGATGTTGATAAAGAGGAATCTACTTCATTTAGTGGCATCAACATTTTCAAGTTAAGGTCTACATATTTTCCTTAAATATTGTCTAAAATTTTATGGTTTTCTGGATGTATCTGACACCAAAAATTTATTCCATGAATGCAATATTGGCCTAGAACCGTTTATAAGTCTTATATGTGTACCACATGGGGATTGTATGGATCATTTATTGTAATAAATGCTTTGACATAATTGAGTATATTTGTTATCTTAAAATTATCTTTATTTTCTTGTCTTTTTATTAAGTTACATCAAATATTCTTTTCTCTAGTTAGAAATGTGAAAAGTATAATGTTTGTTATAAACTCTAATTCCATCTACAAAATCATAGCTATATGAAAAACATTCATAAGAAGTACATTGTAACCCAGACAATACCGCCATTTTTAAGCATTGTTGATTTGTTTTAATTGTTACATACACTGCCTCGTTTTGACGGAATGCTTTATGAAAAGCTTATCAAAATAAGACAATTGTTGCTTTTTTTATCAAAATAAGAACACAATTTTTTTTGTTGCTTTTTTTTTCTTCATTTAACAATAGTTTTAATGATTTTATTGAATTCCGCCAAATACTGAGCGCAATTTTTCAAGATATTGCTGACAGTCGGTTACTAGTTGAATTAATTCCACGAAATACTGAGCGCAATTTTTCAAGATATTGCTGACAGTCGGTTACTAGTTTAAACAATCGAGATATTTTCGCAAAATATCTAAATATATTTCGTAAAATATCCGCTAAATTAATGATTAGATTGTTTACGGGGAAAACTTCAAAGATCTCACAATAGGCTACGAGCATTTTTTAAAATTTATTAAAAATGTAATATGCCTATCAAGTTTTTGAGTGGTATACAGCTTTATATAATATAATTTTATATTCTGGAATCCTAACTTTAATTTTAAATTCCAGACCTTTGAAATCTCAAGTTCTTGAATGTTATTTTTAAATGAGTGTACTGTGCAGGACTTTTTTTAGCATTTGCAATAAGATTTTAAAATCAAAAATTCTTCTAAGAAATAGAAGAAAAAGAGGTATGACTTACAGCATACAACTTTTTTGTTTACTTTTGGCTAAATTTTTTTTTTCGCTTAATTCAAACATAATAAATTTTAAATCGCGCATTTAAAAATGAGCGGGCATTTGGTGTGCGAGTTTTTCTGTAGTTTCGAGCAAGAGAGCTTTGCGATAATAATAAAAAGAAAATTCAAAATTCTAAGAAATGGCGCAATTGCTGGCGAATCCTTAAAAACTACGTAAAAATATATATATATAAAAAAATCGTATTGGAGATTTATTGCTTCAAAATCTTTAAAAACGTTTTAACTCTTTTGATCTTTATTTGTTTTTAAAATTAGGAACGTAATTTAACTTTATTTAAAACGCTTTAAAACAAATCGACAGCAAAATCCTGAAGAAGTTCAAAAATAGATTTGAAAACAGATTTGAAAACAGAAAACAAGACATAAAAGTCTTAAATTAGCTCAGCAATGACATAAACTCAAACTAAAATTTTTTGGCAAAAGTGTAATTTTTAGTACTGTTCATCCCTTTAGAACTGTTTCTAACTGTAAAAAATTCAATAATTTAGCATGTAAAATTCTCCAGAGTGTAAAATTCTTGCAAGCATGTGATTTACCAAAATTTGATAAACCATAGGCTTACAAAAATTTACACTCTAAAAATAGATATTAGATAATTCGGCTTTGTGTCTCATTTTACTAAATGTCAGTTACGATCTCACAATTTTAAAGGAACGATATATCAGCTTTTACATCAAGTGCAAAAAAGGAGGTGCTAATAGGCAAGACAAGATGATTTAGAACAAATACCATGAAAAGACTAGTTATTTGTAGAGATTACTTTAACATATGGTATGTTTCATAGGTTTTGTAATCTATTCAAAACATTGAAATTGTAGTAAATTGTAACTGCGTTCACAGTAAAAATTATAACGCAAACATAACAGTTACGTAACAGTAAGTGAAAAGTTTAGCGTTATGTTTATTAATTTTAAACTTTCCTTTAAGTCTCCGGTTCCTTTATTATATTATCACGAAATTTAATTCTGTAATTTAATTTAATTTGTTTTTTTAATTATAATTTTTTTAAGTTAAAAAAAAATAAACAAGAAAAGGATACATGAGTGTGTGTTAATATACTAATATGTTTTACACATCCCCGTTGATGTGTATGTCTGTATATAGGTGTTCATGGATGTCTATGCATGTGTATTTATATGAATCACGAAGTATATATATACTTCGTGATTCATATAAACAGTTATATAACTATTTATCTCACGATATAAAAAAAATCTTTTTACGGTACGAACCTTGAAGAAGTTTATTAATGATGTTTTAAAAAAAAATTTAAGAGGTGGAGTTGTGAAATACAGTTTTGCAATATTAGGGGTTGAATGCAGCTTACTAATTATAAGTTATCTGACAACCAATTTTTGAATTACTAAAGTTATCTACTTACGATTTGTAAAAATGATTGAGCCATTAGGTCACTATATAAATTAGGAGAACTATGTGCATTATTTACGGGAATCGAAAAACCCAATTATTCTTAATATATATTTGTTGTGGGGTTTTAGCTAATCTGACCAATATCAGTTTCAATAAAATTAGTAGTAATTATAAACAGAAAGAAATTTATTCTAAAAGACTGTCTTATTGATTATTTCTGTTTTATCATTTTAAAGATAATGTTAATCTGCATATATTTAAGAAAAAGAGAACTCGAAGAACTTGTTTTAAAATGATATCAATTAAGATATCATATATAATCTATTTTATCAAATTAAAAGTCATTAACAATCATTTATTTATCACGTTTAATTTTAGCGATTTTTGGTGACACGAACTAATGGTCTTCGAATGACCACGTTCTTTGTTTTGTTTATTAAATATTGTAAAAGTTTTACTATTTTTTAACGTAGTTTTACTATTTTTTACCTGTATTTTTATTTCTTGTATATATTTGAATAAATATTGTAATAAAGAACAACGAAAAAATATATTTATATTTTTACAACTTGACGTGATGGTGAAAAATGAGTTGCATTTTTGAAATCAAAATGAGAAATGCTATATAAAAAACAATTTGTTTGCTCGGTATTAGAAAAAAAAAAAAAATTTGTTGATCTGTGTAATTATTATAAACTTTCGCACTGAGATCTCCAAGAAAAAAGGACGATGGCAAGACGGTTTATTCGCAACTCCCATTAAAATGCATTTATCAAAACACCAGCACTTAAGACTTTGTCTTTAAAGCTCTCCCAGTTTAAAGTCGTGACCGGTAACCGGTACTTTTATTATTAATTAATTACATTGCCAAATTCGATATTTTTTTTGCTAAGTACCACCATTATAGCTAAGAACACCATACTTTTATACGGGCGGTAGACTTTCCAATAAAACGACATGAAACACTGATTCAGCACTTTTCTCCTTGAGATCTTCGTTTTCCCGCTGGTTTCTGCATCCAAGTTTTTACATTTAGAACACACTCTTGTGTACTATCTAAATCTATACACGTTCTCTGCGCCTTTAAGCATACACAATATGCATATGCAATGATACACGACCAATATGTAAGCAACTACACACATATAACATTTTAAAATTATTTTTTTTAATAATAAACATACCGTTATAATTCGTGACAAAAACATTTTCAAACAATTTTTACAGAGCATATTTTTCCAGGGGCAATCTATTTAATGTATAATGCTACTTTAAAATGTCTAAGATATTTTAAAGAAGCATATCTTTAGAATATTTCTAATAGATAACTATTCAAAACTTTCTACGCAAAATTTATTTTTACTCTATAACTAAAAATATTGATTGCCTAGTAGCAACTGCCAACCCTAATATAGTGCATAAATAGCTTAATATAGCATAATCAGATCCATGACTTTAATTGTCGATAATGTTATCCTATCGGCATTTTCTTGAATAGCAAACAAAAAGGAAGTAGAACAAATCATAAACAATTTATAAACCAACTGTTTACTCATTAATTATTACAACAAAATTTAGGATGTAAGAAAATAATTTGATATTATCGATGCATTTTTAACAGTACCATTTTATCGATACACCATTACACTTTCACGTAATGCCTAGACGTTGTTTTAATACACCTATCTATAAAAAAATATGTTGCAAGTAACTATAGTAATGAAAACAACTAGCAAAAAATGTTTAAAATATATAATTCCTAGACGATGTTTTATCACACCTATCTAAAAAAAAATGTATTCCAAATAACTTTTTATAATGAAAACAACAAGCAAAAAATGCATAAAATATATAATTCTTAGACGATGTTTTGTCTAAAATAAAATGTATTCCAAAAAACTATGGTAACAAAAACAACTAGCAAAAAATGTATAGCAATGTCGTAACGAAAATAACAAAAAATAACTTGCCTCTTTTTCAATCAGCTTTTTTCTAGACAAACATGCTTTAGCTGTTTCCTATTAAAAAAAACATATTCTAAAGTATCTATAAAGCAATACCGATGAATGTTTTTAACATTTATATAACAAGAAATATCATAAACAAGAAGTTTAAAAATAACACTAACCCTGTCGTTTTGCTTCAACGCTTGGCTAGCTTTAGCATTTTCACTTTCCATACCTTTGATCAAATTTTTTAAGTATTCTGATAAAAAAAAAAAGATCTTATTAAATGGAAAAATAAGTCCAATATTTTATTATAAATAGTGATGTTCAGTCTCAAACAAATTTTAAAAATAAATGTAACTTAAACAAAGTTTCATAATAATGTAGTATTTATGTACTTGCCCGAAGAACAATGTTCTTCGGAAAAATGCATAAATACTACATTAGCTTGTGATAATAATTTTAAATATTTTTTAAATATTATGAAACTTTGATTAAGTTACATAATCCTTTAAATACATAATCATCCTCTATTTTTTTTTTAAACCTTAAATGTATCAATGACTAATCCCATATATGCGCATTCTCTGATTACAAACAACTTATTATTTTCTACAACATATCCCCATATTTAACATACCCAAAATGTCAACTGTCAAAGTTGGAATATTTGACTAATAATTTTTTTTTGTTAAATCAATTCAATTTTGTTGAAATAAAACAGAAAGAGTTAAGAGAATGAAGAATGTCGAGAAACAAAAAAGTGAGGGTGCAAAAGTATTTGCAGAAGATTAAAAGGGTGCACAATTGGTGGTGAAAGAGTAAAAGGGTGTAAAAGTGGAGACTACATAACTAAAATCCTTTTAATTCTATTTATTATTTTTTTTAAAAAAGATAAAAATTTTACAAATTATTTTTGAAAGTTTCACGGTAAATCTTGATGTAACAAATTATACTGTATATAATGTAAAATATAATAAAAAGCTGAACCCCTTATACCTAACACCATACTCAATTTCTTACAAAACATTGTGTATTGTTTTAGGACTGTTAATAAAATTATTTTTTTTAAATATAAAAGTTGATTTTATTAAAATAGAATGTAATATTTAAATATATATATATATATATATATATATATATATATATATATATATATATATATATATATATATATATATATATATATATTCATATAACAATCAAACTTACCATCTACAGCAGATTTGCCTCCACTTTTTATTTTAATAGTTATTTCTTGCATTTTTTGCTGATGCTCCTTTATTTTTGGTTGCAGAGAAGCAGGAATAGCTTTTCCTTGAGCTTTATACGCTGCAGCCTGGAATATGTAGACATAATATAAACAATACATTTTGACATTTTGAGATTTAAGGAAATTCTGTATTACAATCTTTAAGATTACCTGAGTTTCTAAAATATTTTTTTCATACTGTAAAACCTCTAAACTTTCGTACCTAATAAAATACAAAAGAAGTGTAGAAAAATATGGAAAGTAATGAAGTAAAACGGTGGTTGCACCCTAAAATTGGTTCCTGAACCTTTATGAACACATTTAAAAAAAAACAAATATTATCTTTTATTTGCTTTATTCAAATATACAATATATATAAATCATATATACACCATAAAAATGATTCTTAAAAAAACATATAAAAATTTATGCCACAAATTTATTTCCAACTAATTTTAATAAATAATTTTTTTATATAATTAAATATATTAATTTTGTTTTTCTCCACATTATTCATGACCAAAGTCTTCACGAGACTGAACAAATTTTAGATCCTCTAAAACAAAGAAATATAAACACATAAGGTACCTTCAACTAAAGAATCATAAGATACCTTCAACTAAAGAATCATTAGGTACATTTAATTAAACAATCATAACATAAGTGAAATCAAATGGAATCGGTACTGACGTACATATCAAATAGATTTATCAAAAAAATTTAAACTAAAATTAATATGTTTGATTTTGTAACTAGATCATCTTTCTGATTTTTAGGGAGATTATTATATTATCTACTGATGATTAGGGAGATTTGAGATACTGTCTCTTACTTGACACAGTGAAGATGACATTTGAATCGGTAAATGTTAAAAGGGCGGAAGTCCAACAATGTAAACTTTTGGAAATTAAAGAAAAACTCCATTTTCCCCTATAGTAAATTTTTGTTAATCGTTTAATAACTTTTTTTCTGAAGAGGATAATGTTTTTCACCTTTAAAAAAAAATTATTAAACCATTAACAAAAATTTATCATGGGGGGAAATGCAGTTTTTTAGTTCCCCAAAAGTTTACATTGTTGGACTTCCGGCTTTTTAACATTCACCAATTCATTTATAATAAAATATTTTATAAAAAAGGGATTTCAGAATGTACCAAAGCATAATCAAGTACAGCATGTCTTATTCCTGATTTGTGAAATATTAAATGGGTAGAGGCTAGAAAAGGCAGAGGTAGAAGCTAGAAAAAGTAGAGGCTAGGAGAAATGTAAGCAGTAAACAAGGCTCAGGCATAAATTTGAATATAACATTGATTTTTAGCATATCCCACAGCCAGCCTTTTGGCCTAATAGTCAGGGAAATTAAAACAAAAAAATATAAGTAATTAGAGATAACAAATTTTATACCGAATAATAAAACCTTTTTTTCAAAGAAACATGTTAAAAAACCTTTAATGGAAGTTGTATAAACACTTTTTCTCATTTTTTTAATTACTTTTTTAAATGCATCATTCTAATAAAATTGTTGTAAAAATTAGTTTTATTGTAAATTTATGAACAAAAATAATCTAACCAAATTTAAAATCTTGAAATATATATACTTTTTTGGAAATTGTTAAAATGAGTTTAACTTTTTAATTAACAAAATTACTCTGTCGTTTACGGGAAACAGTTGTTAATATAGGTAAGCCTATCCTGCATAAATATTCATGAATAATAATAATAGCAGTAATAATATAAATAATAAAAATGATAATAATAACAATAATAATAGTATTAATAAAGATATTAATAACAAAACTTCATCTTAAAAATTGTTTATTTAGTAACATTTTAAGTTCAGTTTTTAAAGTGACCTTGAAATCTTTTTCAATGAAGAAATTTCTTTTATAACTTTTTCAATTCTTTTTTTTTAATGAAATAAAACAAAATTCAAAACGAGTATCAACCTTTTTATTTAGGTGTTTACCAATTTAGATGTTAAAGTGATAATTATTGTTTATTTAGCTGTTTATTTGATGGTTAAATAATAACACGATTATTTAATAAGTATCAATATAAAAATATTTATATAAATATTATATTTTTATATGTGCTGTGTGCAAAACCTTTTTACTTCTTATTAGTTTATATTCTTAAAATATTATTGAAGATATATTTTAAATAATTTACATTATTAAAAAACATAAATTATTTTAAAAAAATAATAAAAATTATTTATTACTAAATTTAAACTGAATCATTATAATCTAGTGCTTTTGATGTTTTTATGTTTTTACTTTTATTATGCAACTTTTAAGCACAAATTTTAAAATAATTTAAACTTACGCTGTACTCGCTTTTGAACTATTTTGTATCGGATCTGAACTCGGCATGTTCTAAAAAAAAAAATTAAAAGAGATATGTTATTAAATACTAGATAAAGATTGCATGATATATATATATATATATATATATATATATATATATATATATATATATATATATATATATATATATATATATATATATATAATTATTTTTTTAGCATTTTCTCTTCCAACAAGACTGCAAGCAACTACTATTAGATTTGGAAGTTACTGGAAAAGAAATGATGAAGGTTGTAGAGTGAGATAACGATTGACAGATGACTTAAAAGATTACAAAATATATGAATCAGGAAAGCAAGATAAAGAAAGCGAATTTTAAAGAACTGATGTTCGAGGAAAAAAACTAGATGAGTAAGAGTTTTTGGAGGATTTAGAAACAGTCGCAGAAAAAAGATGAGATTAAAATGAATGACAAGTAACACAAGAGTGAATTTTAGTAGATGGCACAAAAGACGCTAGCTCTTTAGAGCAGTGCCCATTATATTATTTGTAGAAAAAAACAGAGAAGCAACATTACAACGATGTGATAATGGTTGGAGGTTGGCTAAAAGAGCAGGTCCAACTAAGTTTACAATGCATTTTTGCACCTTGTCTAAAAAAAAAAGGGCATTATTAGAAGATCCCCCCCCCCCAGATATGGTAACAGTATTCCATATAAGGCCGGATTTGAGATTTATAGATATAGAGAAAAGAATCGGGAGTAAGAAAGTGTCGAGCTCGATAAAGAGATGCAACCTTAGCAGATGCTAATTTTGCAACAGAGTTGATATATGGTTTCCAAGAAAGATCAGAAGTAAGAGTTAATCCTAGAAAATAAAGGGTAGATGACTTATCAAGTACATTATCGTTCATAAATATAGGAAGATCTATATTATTGTGATAACAATTGGCTAAAAATATTATTTATAGTTTAGTTTTATCTGAAATAAAGTTCACCACCCAGCCCCATGCTGTAGCAGAAGTGAGATCTTTTTCAAGTTTTCAAACATATGTATAAATTTAAAAAAAGACTATATGTTGTGTTGATTCAAGAGAAAAGTTTTACAAAAAATATAGGCACAAGTACAACTTTGGTCAGAACTTTTAACTCCAACAAAACTCAGTTATTTACTACAAACAACCATTGCAATACTGTTGACATTCCTATATTGATGAACGGTTACCCTCTCACTGAGTCCTCTCTTTACACCTATTTGGATTATTGTTCACTACTGAATGGCTACTCTCTCGTTGAGTCCTCTTCTTTACGCCTTCTTGGATTATTGTTCACTACTGACCTCTGATAGAAACCATATATACAATTGATTGCTAAATTAGCATCAGCTTAGGTTGCTTCTCTTTATTGCTATTTTCTTACTCCTGATTTTATTCACAACCTCTGCAAATCTCCTATTCGCCCCTGTATGAAATACTGCTGTCATTTACTGTTGTATGCTTGACTCATTATTCAGCTTAGTCTTATCTTTTTACTGCAAATGCAGGGGCATATAAGCTCTTAAAAAATGTTCATAATACAACTTCACATATGCAACCCTTGGAATTAGGGTCGGCGTTTGGCAATGCCAAACTAACTGCTGACCCAGAAGCATTTAAGGTAAGCAAAAAATTGCCGACCTTGTTTCTATGTTTTATGGTGAAACCTTTGTTTTACATTTTTTCTATTGACCTCACACAGATTAAGGTCAGAAAATTATTGCTGACCTTATTTTCCCTAATTCTGAGGGCTGTATATTCAAGCTAGCACACTTACTTAGGGCCAACGTATGTAAATACATCACAAATGTGGGTTATTTTCTTTGATGCAAATACAACATTGATCCAATGTTAGGTTTATCGCATTTATATTAATTAAAACCTTAATAACAACGCGATTAAAAATAGTTAGCAAAATTGGTCCAACATATAGAAAAATATTGCAAAAGTTTGTTGTTTTTTCTAAATCCAACATTGATCTAATGTGTAGGGATCTATATCAATCCAATGAATATGGACCAACGTTGACTAAATGTGTATAACCCCACATTGATCCAATGCATATGGATTAACATTGATACAATGTTTGTAATGCAACGTTAATCCAATTTGTATGGATTAGCGTTGGATTATATACACTGAATCAACGCTGATCCATATACATTAGAACAATATTGGATTTTATACAGTGGATCAATGTTGTGTTTGCATTGAGAAAAGGCAGATATACAAATATATATTTGTATAATTTATAAGAATTATTTTTCATTCAAATATTTCAGTTAATTATGAATTATATATTTTGCTAACATATTTTTTTCTTTCTTATATAACGAAATATCAAGCCACAAGCAAAACAAATATGAATAATAGCTCTTCAATCAGATGCAATATAATGAGTAAACAAAGGTTATCAGCAATGTTGGTTCATCAAAATGGTTGAAATATGTATGTATAAGTATATACAATTATAAGCGTATATGCAATAATATGCGTATAAATATATAATATTCAATGTGTGTATATGTATATACAAAAATACAAAACAAATAAATTTAATTCCAATAAGAGTTAAATATAACGTTGTGCAAACATAAAATATAACGTTGAATCAACTTAAAATACAATGTTTCGCCAATGTAAAATACAATGTTTTGCCAATGTAAAATACAACATTGTGCCAACATTAAGTACAACATTGTGCCAACGTAAAATACAGCGTCGACCCAACATAAAATATTATGCAATGCCGACTTAAAATACAATGTAGTTTTTTGGTTGTTGACAATGTCGCATTTGTAACCAAAATGTTATTAAAATAACGTTGGTGGTTAATGTTGGGCCAACGCAACGCGCAACATTGTTTTAACGTTTTATCAATGTATGTGTGCTAGCTGGGATGGTGTCTGTATGAATCAATTTCTTATTGAAACAAAACTTTCTGATACAATTATCTTTCGAAAATAATTAATAAAAAGAAAAGACTTAAAATAAATTTAAAATTAAATAAAGAATGAATGAAATGAATGAAAGAATGAATCTTATTAAATTATTATTCTTTCTGCAAATAAAGTCATCAATGGAATCTTATAACCAAAACCTTTTTGGAATCCTGTAATTAAATAAAGTTGTTTCCTTTAATAAATCTTGTAAGTCATTGTTGGAACCATTAATTAAAGTTGACGATTTTAACAATAAAACCACAAATGAATTATAACATACATATTTAAATAAATAAAATTGAATAAAGGTTCAAAAAGTTTTTGTCAAAAGTTCAACAACTTCTTGTTGTCAAAAATTCAAGAAGTTCATATTAAAAGTAATAACCATATGAAAATAAAAAATTCACAGCTTCAACATTATTTAAGCATTAACAATTGCCTTTTAAAAAAAACTTGAAAAAAATCTTAATAACAATATTTGAGGCTATAGATAGAACTACAAGTAAGACAAGGTTGTTAAAGTATTAAACATCTATTCTATACAACTTTAAACTGCTGTTGAAGTAGTAAAAATTGTCCAATCTATGCAACTTTATACTGTTGTTGAAAAAATAGAAATAATTTAATGAAAATTGTTTGAGTAAAAAAAAAATTAAAATTATTTTTTTTGTGATTAATATTCTTCATGCATGTTCCTGCCCATACCTGAGTCGTTGTGTGTCGTCATGTCACGTAGTCATCGTGTCACGTACCTGCCCATACCTGAGTCGTCGTTTAGTAAAGCCCCACATTTAGCTATTTGGATCAGTTGTTGTATGTACACACTTCACACATTTTACCTATTTAATATCGTACAAATTATGTTTAGAGCGGCAACCCAGTTTAGATTATTTAGTTGTAAAAATAACAAAAAATACAAAAAAACTAAATCTGTAAATATGTTGCCATTTTAAATACTGCTATACAAACTCCTTGTCTTGCTTAAAATTTGAAGATAAAATTTGAAGATAAAGGATATCAGGATATACAATTATAATTAGAAATATTTTTAAATCAAATCATCAGGATATACAATTATAATTAGAAATATTTTTAAATCAAAAAGGAATATGGAACTAATCAAAACTAAAAATAGAAAAAGTTAATTTTTATATCTTAAAATGTGCTAACACATTATTATATTGTCTACATACTCTGTAAAACATGAACTTTTGTACTCTATAGGATTACACTATAAAACCTCTAGAAATCGAAAGCATTTGGAAATCTAAATTACTGGGAGCAGAAATATATTGACAATAAATAACAAAAAAAGAGTCATACTATATAATTGTCATGAATGAACTATTAATTTATTTGTAGAAGAACCTTAAAGCATTTATTCATAAGATACCTCTGCAAGAATTACACTTGATGATGTGGGTGAGAAAAAGAATTTCATGCAAAGTATCATTATTTATCGATAACTCTGGTTTTCAAAATTGGTTTCCTCTATACCATATAACTTTTCAAGGCTATTATGTAGGGGTGGCAACTAATTCATTAAAAAACTTAATTGCCTTAAATTGTGTTAAAAGAAATTCCAGTATACCATCATCTGATCTTATCCAAAAAAATTATTTGCAAGCTTTTAAATCAATAAAAATCGCACTTTCCTTATAGATATCTTAGAAACTAAAACAATAATTTTGCTGACATTTTAGTCTACAGTAGTTATGTTTAATCTGCTTATGTTAAAAATAGTTAATCATAAATAATACATAGAAAATACATATAATTGGAAATCAAATTACTTTTTTTTTAAATAACATGAGCCAAAAAAATAATAAGCCAACCTGTAGAGATATAAAGTGAGAGACAAAAAATTTAAAGAAAAGCTCTTGTTGGTTTTAATAAACAAAATCAAATAAAAATAATATACAGCGCAAACAAAATACCAAACAGGTATTTAATTAGTGCAGGTGCAAAATCTTTCTTCCTTTTACTCATACTTTAGATGTAGTTACAGATCTAATTGTTTTTTAATTGTAAAAAGACCATATTGTTTTTTATAAATATCTCAGTTTAATAATATCTTTAACATAATAAAAAAATATTTTTAATGAAAAATGTTATACAACATTTAACTTCAAATAGAAATTAAAATGCTAATATAATAAACTGTTGCTGTGTTTGTTTTTATAACTGTTAAATGGAAATAAAAAATTATTATTAAATGAAAATAAAATCCAACCATAATCAAGCCACGTAGATGTGTGTCAAGTACTAGCCATTTCTCTGTCACAATTTCAGCATCTTTGTCAACAAAAGGTTCACGAATTTTTAAAAGAACTTCGATTTTTCCACCAACTGATTTTCTACCTTTTTCAATGTCCATTAACTAAAGATATATTAGAACTAACTAAAAATATATAATATAAGAATTAAAAGAATAATAAAATTAAAATATTATTTAATTAAAAATCTGGTCAATAAAATATATAACCTTTATTAAAAATAATTTTGTTATAATTTTTTATGACAAAATACATAAGTATTACTAGAAATAATTTTGGCGTAATTAATGACAAGACTATTTAAAACTTTTTTACCATCACCTTTTGGTCGTTAGCAATTAATGAAAATCAAATTGATGCAGATCAAATAATTTTTTTTTAATTATTATCTATTGATGTTTTAGAATATCATTATTATTTGCTAATGCTTGTTATATGATATTTATTACTTTTTACAAACAAAAAATATGTTTGTAAAAAATAATAAATATCATAGGGAACATCTAAGAAAAATAAAAAATTTTCTTAGATATTCCCTATTAAAATTTCCAAAGGAGCTGTTCTATATTTACCATATTATATTATACATGAATAAATATAAATTATATATAAATATAATTATAAATTATAATAATTTTAAAATCATATAGTTATAATTAAAATAAATTATACTATAAACAAAAATATGAACAAATTACCTTATATTATACATGAATAAATAATCTTTTTGTAGTTAAGTGAAACAATTTTTTAGGAAAAGCGCATTTCTATTAATTTTTATTACATTAATAAAATGCAACTAAGTTGGTGTAATTTTAGTATTCATGAACTAGATGATATTGTTGTTTCACTACCAGTTGTTACTTTAATTGAACACTGTATTTTGGAACCGTGACAAGTCACAAAATTA